GCTGACAAAGCCACCGAGACCCGGCAGCGGGAGATAAGATGGGGACAAGGAGAGCTAACACCCCCGGGGACCAGGAGAGGAATTTGGGGCGGGTTATGGGGAGCATCTTGTGATTTATGGGTGTTGTGTGGCTGTGGCATCCCTCAGTGATGCCTCTTTGGTGTTCTCCAGGGCTCTGCACCATCGTCCACTACCTTGTCGGAGGGCAGCTGGGCTGGTTGGGGCTGACCATCGCCTGCGTGGTGCCTGGGTACGTCGCTCAGCTCCTCAGCATCCTCTGGTTCAGGGCAGATGGTCACCCGCCCAGCTGCTGGCTCCTGGTGCTCCACCTCCTGCAGCTGGGCCTCTGGAAAAGGTAAGAGATGCCCCCCATGGTTCATCCACCTGAAGTCCCAAACTTGCCAAAACCAGGGCAGATGTCCTGTCATGGTGACTCTTGCAGGTACTGTGATGTTTTGCGAACAGAGGCAAAGGTGGGCGGCAGCGCTCGTACCGGGGAGGTGCTGATGCAGCTCGGGGATGTGTGTGTGCTGCGGCTTCTGGAAGCTCTGCTGCAGACCCTGCCTCACCTCCTGCTGCAGGCCTACGTTGTGGTGGCAGTTGACCCAGGGGGCATCATCCCTGGTGAGTGGGGATGATGCTGCAAGTTGCCTTTGGGTGGGGGATGCATGTACCCACCAGGCAGGCTTTGAATGGAGGAGCACACTGCAGAGGGGCTGGGAAGCCCCCGTGCAAAGCAACAGGGACAAATGTGGCTTAAATTTCTGCTGTGATTGAACATGGAGGAGTCTCTGGGCTATCCATGGCTTTTCCTGGCTGGTATAGTCATTCCTTATGGCGTATAGGAGACCTCCATGGCAGCCAGTGCCTTGGTTGGGTTTGAGCCCAACTCCTACTGATGTTTCTGCTGATGGTCCAGCCCTAGTTGTGGTGCAGTGCTGAGCATTTAGGGGTTTGGGGCTGCGGTGTCAGTCTCTGGTCTGATAGCAGCGATTGGAGATGGACCTGCCCTGCCACTGCAGAGCTCTGAGCATGGCAGAGACCTGTCAGAGGAGTTAAGCAGGCAGATGCTGAGCACGCAAAGGACACCAGATTCGGAAGGAATTGGTTAAAATACTCCAATTTTATCCTGGAGAGAGGAGACCTTATCACTCTCTACAACTACTTACTCTCTACAACTACCTGAAAGGAAGTTGTAGTGAGGTGGAAATTGGTCTCTTCTCGCAAGTAACAAGTGATAGGACGAGAGGACATGGCCTCAAGTTGTGCCAGGGGAGGTTTAGATTGGATGTGAAGAAAAATTTTTTCAAAGAAAGGGTTATCAGACACTGGAACAGGCTGCCCAGGGAAATGGTGTGGTCACCATTCCTGGAGGGATTTAAAAGACTGGTAGATGAGGAGCTTAGAGACATGGTTTAGTGATGGAGGGGTTATGGTTAAACTCAGTGATCTTAAAGGTCTTTTCCAACCAAATAATTCTGTGGTTCTATGAATTGGCAGGGCAGTGGATGTCTGGCTTGTATCAGGGTGCCATACTACTAACAGCTCCTTGACATTGAGATCTGATCCTACAATGCTTTTAGGCATCCTTCAGAGCCCCTGACTGCCCCTGTCCCCATGCAGGCGTCAGCGCGGGGCTGTCCCTGCTCTCCCTCGCTTGGGCATTGGTGTCCTACAGCCGCTTCTCCTGCCTGCTGAAACCTGGCCACCTCTGCCCGCCGGCCGCGGCCATCCTCTGCCTGCTGCTCTGGAGGACGGGGATGCTGGGGACCAGGGTCCTGGCCCTGGTGTTCTTTGCCAGGCTGTATTCCTTCTGGGTTTTTGCTGTGGCAGGTAAGGCCTGTGGTCATCTTCTCCATGTTCCATCCTGCTGCCAGTCCCAGAGATGCTCCTTTGCAGCCTCCTCCCCCAGGACATTTTGCCCCTTCGGTCCCTTCCCCTTGCAGGTGTCCACTGGTTGCTCATGTCCTTCTGGCTGGTGGCCCAGCAGACAGATATCGTGGCCCAGCCCTGCCGCTGGAGGCTGTTCAATTGCCTGGTGGGAGCCGTATACATCTTCTGCTACATTAACATCCGCCCTGGTCCCTCTAAGCACAGGGTGGCCGTGTTTTATGCAGTAAGTACCCAGGATATTCAGTATTCACCATGGATGCAGCTGCCGGGGAGCAGCAATAGGTTCAGATTTTGCTTTCTCAGCTCTCACAGCACCACTTGATAAAAATCCAGTGTTTCCTATGGCCTCACAAAGCTACATGTCCACCAAGGTGGTTGCACCTTCTGTGCTGGCTTTGTTTTCTTAGCAGCAGCCATATAATGTCTTGGTAATCTGAGAGTGGCTGTCCTGCTTTGTCACAGTTATTTTTTATGTTCAGACATGAAAAAAAAAGGTCAAGACCTTGCAGAAAGTTGGGTTCAGCAACCCTTATGTTGTAAGTGATAACTTAGTCACAAAATAAATCAGCAGAATCTAGGAACTGGGTGTTTTCTGTCGTCAGAACCACGTCTAAAGCCATCAGAAGGGTAAAAGCGACAACTCTCTTCCCTCTGTTCTGCAGATAATGCTGATGGAAAATACCCTCCTGCTGCTGCTGGCCACGCGGTTCCTGCAGGCAGAGCTGAGGAGGAGCCTCTACGTAACTGGGGCCGTCATGTCAGGGTCTGTAATAGGTAAGGTCTGATGGGGTTCAGAGCCTGGATTGCACCTTTAGAGAGTAAATGAGCATTGTCAGTTATTTTATTTGCATCAGGCTATTTGCTTTATTTCTTCCAGCTGAAGTTTCTGAATGTATTTGGTAATATGTAACTCCTCCTTGAGTTTAATTTCTTAAAAGAAATTCTGCAAGCTTGCAGAAATGATTGAGATGTCACCACATGGCTCAAATACCACTGCCAGGTACAATATATGACATTTTGCAGCACATCCATGTGTGCTTTTGGTGATCTCGGTGCTTGGTGATCAGTGCAGGCAGTGGTAGGACATGGGATCGATCACTGCAGGGAAACTTTTTCATTTGAGCATGTACAGATGATTTATGAAGGTGGCTTGTGACTGATGAGCCATCACTGGGTGTATTTTGCTGCAGAACTACAGCAGCTTTCTCCCACCCTGTTTTCTTTCAAAGACCAACGCTGCTTCTGTAAATGGAAAAGTTTTTTGTGGTCATGGGAGGGATCAGTTTGGAAAAGGGTCTGGGCATGTACCAACCCTGGGAACATTCAAGATCGGGTTGGATGGGGCTCTGAGCAACCTGATCTTGTTGAAGATGTCCCTGCTTATGGCAGAGGGGGTGGATTAGCTGCACAAGTCTTATGAGGAGCGGCTGAGGGAACTGGGGTGGTTCAGCTGGAGAAGATGATGTGAGGGGCGACCTTATCCCCTCTGCAGCTCCTGAAAGGAGGGGGTAATGAGGGGGGGGTCGATCTCTTCTCCCAGGGAAGCGATGAGATGAGAGGAAAAGGCCTCATGTTGTGCCAGGGGAGAGTTAGGTTGGATATTAGGGAAAATTTCTCCACTGAAAGGGTTATCAGGGACTGGAAGGGGCTGCCCAGGGCAGTGGTGGAGTCACCATCCCTGGAGGTATTTAAAAGATGGGGAGATGTGATGCTTAGGGACATGGTTTAGTGGTGGACTTGGCAGTGCTGTGTTAATGGTTGGACCCAATGATCTTAAGGGTCTTTTCCAACCAAAATTATTCTGATTCTATGATATTTTGGTATGCGATGGAGAAGGATGTGCCTTGCCCATATCCTGCCCTATTCCATACCCTGTCATAAAGCAGCCAGCTGGTGCATTTAATTCCCTAAAGCTTTAGTGCACAATGGTGAGGAGAGGACAAAAGTAAGAAGGTGTCTTAAAATCCTGCTGCATTTAATGGTTAGAGGACCAGGATGCTGTAAGAGGGGAAGGATTCCTGCATTACACAGTTTCTCCCTGCCCTATGGCCTGTCTGTTGATGCTCCATGTCTGCCTTTCTGTGCACCTATCAGACAGGTTATAAATTTATTAGTAATCAATCCAGATTATTAGTAAACTCAGTCTTGAGAGTCTACTCAGCACTCCCTTGCCCGAAAGGTGTTCAGATGGGATTTTTACATCCCTAAAAACTTGTGAAAGAAATGCTGATGCCCAGCAGCATCTCTGGAAGGGTTCTGTTGATCTGGAGGAGGCAGAGAGGTCTGGTCCCTCCTCCACACCTCACCAAAACGCTGCTGGAACTCATCCCTTGATGCCTTTCTGCTCTTTTTCAGGTGCCATAGCTCTGGTGGTTTATTACAGCCTGCTCCATCCCAAGTCCACAGAGATCTGGCAGGGTTTTGTGGAGACATCCTGCAGTACTGCGGCTGCCAGTGATGACGAGGGGGCTGGAGATGGCTCCCAGGCTGGGCAGAGCTTGGAGATTTCAGGACATAGTGGGTCTTTGGCAAGGGAAGAGACCATGGCAGATCCCAAAAATGGGAAGAGCTCACTGCTCCTGCAATTTGGAGGGTGTTTGGAGGATGACTGGACCAGCCATCACCACTGGCTGCTAGTAAAGCTGGCCTTGAAGACAGGAGATATATCCATGATCAACGCAGCTTTTGGAGATGGTGGCATAGGAGAGATTTACCTTGGAGAATGGATGATGGGGAAACCCAACAGCATTGAGCCTGGTGCAAACTTTTCCCTCCCCATGGCGGAAATGGGTCCTCAGGGTGTTGAATCTGGTTTGACTGATGAGAAATCGCAGGTGGTTGGGAATGATGAACGCAGCAAACCAAGCGCTGGCGCTGCAAGAACAGGACAGGAAGATGGAGAAGGGCAGGAGCCTGGTTTTCACCCATCTGAATCCTTTCCCAGTAGCTTCTCCTCAGAGCCATCTGAAGGCTCCTCTCTGTATTTCAGTGCCAACATGGGAGTCGTTGCCTCACCTGGTGTGGGGACAGCCACAGCCACATGTGTGGCATCAGTGCAAAGGGACAGCGAAACCCAGCCTCCCCCAGACTCTTTGGGACGAGGAGAAGGGAATTTATCCCTTGGGATGGCAACCATCAGCCCAATCCTGGGTGCTTGTGCCCATAAGCATCTACAGAGCAGCTCTGTAGGAGTGATGGGTCCCCCTGAGGAGGGCTTGGAGCCCACAGGGCCAGAGGGTGCCCTCATGGGGTGGCGTCACCTTCAGGACCCCCACCCTTACAGCACACAAGGGACTGGTGTGAGAAGCAAGCTGAGGCCACCATGCTTCACCTCCACCCCCAAGTCTGACTCTGAATGCCCACAGCGTGGACTGGGGGAGCCGGGAGAGGGGACAGAGCTGACTGGGTTCGTGGAGTGACCCTGAAATGGCTGCGCCATCACTTTGGGGTGACTGCTCTGTTGGTGGGGTGCAGCAGGAGGTGGTGGGATGTTCATGCTGGCCATGAAGACTGTCCCTGTGGTGCCCCTCCATCACTAGGATGTCATCTTCCTTCCCAGTGCATCTTGTACTTGTAGTTTTGGGGAGCTTCAGAGTTCTTCAAAAGCCTTAGAAGTCCAGGTTTAGGTATTTACTGAGCTTATTTGTGATGATCTCTTGAAGTGTGTTCTTTAACAAGTGCCTATACGAGCTCCTGGCCTGTCCCAGCTTGGAGGTCTGGCTGCCGTCTCCAGGCTGACCAAAGCAGGAGTCTTCTCAGGATAAGCAAGTGCCTAAACCAGAAAAATAATGAATTTTACTCTCCAACGCCATTCCTTCTGGGCAGAATAAGCCCTGAAGTAAGGCTCAGCGGTACTTGATTTATTTCCCCGTTACAGGTTCATCTTGAGAGCTTTACCAACTCCATTTGCTGAGGCCACACAGGAGCCCAGACCCTCTTCACACCACAGATCACAACCTCAGGACCTTGAATTGCAGACAAAAGCCATGTCCTTGCTTACCTACTGTCCTGCTTCCTCAAGTGCCCTTTTCTGTCCAGCCTCTTCCTTGCGCCCTTCCACCTTGATGCAGATAATCCAGACCTGGCTGGATGCTCCTCCTAAATTTAACCTCAAAATAAATCTCAAAATGCATCTACATACTCCTGCCACCATAAAACCCCAATTTATTTCTATCAGTAACTAAAAGCCACAATGCTGTGGCCTCAGAAATAGCCAATGCCTCCACCCAGGGCGGTTGGACATGGGTTTGTGCCCATAACTTGGTTGGACATGGTGACCTAGTTCTAATCAGCTGGGTTCATCATCAAGCTTGTGGCTGCCAGCTGCTGCACATCTGGCCACATCCTCCAGCTGTTGTCCCGCTGTGGGCAGGACTCTGATGTTGCCTTGGCAACAGGAAGGACAGGCATGCGATGAATTATTTAAAAAGCTTTTTTTTAAAAAAAAACCAAGCCAGATGTTTCCTCAAGCTGATCTGAGCACTGAAACCCCCAGTTGGTGCCGGTTTCGAGTGAAGCCGCTTTCCAACACGATAAAAGCTCCGTGTCTCTGTCCAGACTCCAGCACAGCCATGCTGTGGCTGTGCTCCACAGGGATGAAGCACTTGGAGCAGCTTTTCCAGAGTCTTCCACACTGTTTGCATCGCACAGAAGGCAGCAGAGCTGTCAGGGCATTATGGAAATTTTTATCTAGTTTGTTTTTCTACCTGTGATAATATCTAATGATGCTATTAAAAAAAAAAACCAAACCAGGCTTTGCTGTGTCTGTGTCTCGTGTTGGGGGTGCACATAAGCACGCAGAGGTCCTCTCTGGACCTTGCCATGGGGGATGTTGGACCTTGATCTCCTGCTGCTTTGCAAGCGAAGCGCTGTGCTGCTTCCTGGCTAAATCTGACATCGCCTCCCCTCCCTCCTCTTTGCAACTCCATTTTCCTGTTTTCTGAGATTTTCTACCCATTCCAGCTCTAACTGCCCCCAGTCAAGCTGTCTGTTGAACTGAGCAGGGTTTTTTGCCTTTCTCCAGCTGGAGGATGTGCAAGCACAGGACATGGATATGAACAGGCAAAGGACTCCACATCTCCTTTCTCTCTTCCCCACGCCTTTCTCCTGCCCCAGGACGAGTTGGCTGTTGGGATTTTGAAGAAGGGTCTGCATCCAGCATCTTTCCTGCTGGGGCCACCTCTCACGCAGAGAGCAATGGATTGGGTGAGGGAGGGGCAGAAATGGCAAGCTGGGACATGGGGATGGGGATGCAGACCTTTACTGCCCAAATTTCTGGGCCAGGCAGAGGATGCTGGCAGGAAGGATCGGTTATTTCTTCCCTGTCCCATTCCCTCTTGCCCCTGAGTTCACTGTGGAGTGGTGAACCTGCTCACTTGCTCACCCCATCCTCAAACCAGGACCAAACCAAGTCTAGGACAAGAAAGTCCTTTCCCTCCCTGAGCAGGATCATTCTCCTAACCCAAAGCCTTCCCTTTAGGTTGGAGGGGTCGTACAAAAGGGGATGTGTCCTATATAACTTGGACCAAAAGTTCTGATTTTAGTTACATGCAACCTTAAGAAGAAATACTGACATGACAAGAACTGTTGAAACTGTTTACTAAATTAATACTGGTAATATCTGGGGTAGATTTTGAGCATTTGCTGCAGATAGTAAGAACACCCAACTCTAACACTTGAAGTTCAGCCACCAACCCAAGGATCACAGTGCATGGCATTGTGCTTGGTGGGCATCTCTCCTTGGATGCTCTCCACCTACAGCAGTTTTGACCTTGGCTGTACATCCTATAGTCACAATCCTACGTGCTGTAATAATTAACATTAATTGCAAAAATCAGATGCTTTGTAGGTCAAGTGATGGCTATCGAAATTATGGGCTACCCTCAAAGCTGTGCTGGTTATCACAAGGCAAGGAAAAGCAAATACATTGAAGGTTTGCTGTTCTGTCCTGTTCCAGAGCCTTTAAACACAGAAGGATTTATAACATTTGAGTGTTTTTCACTCAATAAATACAGGGTTGTTGCTGTTAACTGCAGACCATAGGCTCTGCGCTAACTAAATTTGGGCTTACCAGGTCTTTAACAGCAATGGGTCTGTTTTAGCTCTAACTGCAAAAATTGATAAGGGTCATAAAATGTTTGGCAGGGCTCTATCCTGTGTCTTAATGCTCGCTCTGTGGTGGCATGGGGTAACTGCAGATGGTGAGGACCTGACAGCACTGAGCAGCCATCATTGAAACTATTCAGTGGACCAGTCGGAAAAGAAACTATGGCCAAACATGTTTCCATGGCTTTGCTCCCCGATGATGGGAGATGGCCACTGGTAACGTCCTGTTGTGCTCCCCCTCACCTTCTCCTTGGGAACAATATGAAAATCAGCTTAAATAATGTGGATTTATATGTCCTTAAAGACTTTCAGCCTGAGTGAGAGCCCTGTTATGCCCAGTGTCCAAGTCCTGCGTGCTGGGTACAATTCCAGTGCTGAACAATAGGTCTTTACCTACAGAAATTACTTATATTTATGTAAATAATAATAATGATGATGATGATGATGA